AGGATTTATATCATCAACCGTTGGGGTTTATTTTAGGGGCCTGCGGGTTTAGGGTTCCTTTAATGGGGCCTATAAGGGCTATTATAAGGAATTACTACAGGGGCCTTGATAATTACCTATGCTACTTTGTGGTTACTTATTACAATTATAGTACAATGGGCTCCAAAACCCTATTCTAATTATTAGGGCCCCTATATGAGGTCTCTTGAGGTCTAGGGTTTCGGTTGATTGCTCAGGGTTTAGGATTTAGGGCCTAGGGTGATCTCTTCGGGTTTGCGGTTTGAGGTTTAGGCCGGTTGTCTCATATTGGCTAGTATCTCAACCGTGATAGCGCGGCGGGGTTCTTTGCACAGGTTGCTCATTGGAAGAAGGGTTACTCCAATACTATCAGTGAACTTCTTAAAGTTCCAGAATAGGCGAAGGAAGTCATGCGGCTTTCATATACATGGCTTTACGAGGTGTGAAGAAACCTTGTTTAGGAAGGCACCATAGCAGGAATAATCAGAGTATGAAAGCTTGCGATGTTCCGTTTACATGAACCTTACGCTTCAGGCTTGGGCCCAGTGCTGGTATGCCTGAAAAGATTCAAAAGCGTCCGGGGTTTAGGGTTTAGGGTTTAGGGCCCAGCTGATAACACAGAGCCTGGGTTCAAAAAAAGGGTTTAGGGCGGATTGCAGTGTTTGGGCCAGGGATAGAGAGAACAGACTGTGCAAGGAGAAGGCACCTACGACCAGCAAGTCTTGAGCGTGTCGGAGGCAAGCGGTGGAGGAAATGATGCCGCTTGTCCTGAAAGATCGAGCGGCGGTTTTTGGTTTAGGGTTTAGGGTTGCGGGGACGGGGTCTTCGGAAAGTGCTCGAAAGCTCTTTCATGGTGGCGCAGGGGGCGATCCTGTATTATCTCCATATATATATATATATATGTATTTTAAATTTCAATCATTCTATAGTTACATATGCATCTACACATATACAGACAGACATATACCTCGGCACCTGCACCAATTATATCTTTTTTTGTTGTGGTTATAAACCAAGACACGGACAAGTATAAACCGCCAGCAATGAAATTCCAAAGCTGCGCAAAAGTGCTGAGCATGATGGCTGCCTTCTCATACTCCTTCTGACTCGGCACGTTTTTTTGTTCTCGGCCCAAGAATCAAGTTGTCACAGGAAACTCACAAAAGCCTAAACCACCCCTGAGTGAGAGACGAAACCCTTCCTAACCTCGCCGTTCTTGTCCGAGCGTGAGCGCCGAAACCATCACCAAACCACTAAATCCGAAACCCCTAGACCAGCACTTCCTTATCCGTCAAGCCTTGTCACAAGCCGCGCTGCACAATCCTAAAAGGACTCACTCCTTTCAGGCGTGGCAGTACCAGGTCTCAACTCTTGGCATTCGTGCCGAATCCCCGTTGTCGTGGAAATCTTCCGATCCTCGCAAGAGACCGACCCCACAGTGAGCGCTCTCACCAGCCCTGAGTTTTGCCCCAGGGCTCCTGCTTAGTAGTAGTAGTAGTAGTAGTAGTAGTAGTAGTAGTAGTAGTAGTAGTAGTAGTAGTAGTAGTAGTAGTAGTAGTAGTAGTAGTAGTAGTAGTATACTAGTACTAGTAGTAGTAGTAGTAGTAGTAGTAGTAGTAGTAGTAGTAGTAGTAGTAGTAGTAGTAGTGACAGTGGTAGGAGTAATTAGGAACCTCAACCTCAAACCCAACAGCCTAAAAAGATCGAGTCCCCTCCCTTCCTCTCGGCAAGGTCAGTGGCGCATGCTCCGTTGGAACAGCCGTTATGTGGGTGCCGGCCTCGGCGAAGTTTCAGCAGAAGTACCTGCCTGATGGGTGCAACCCCGAAGCCCGAGACCTTCCTTCCTAAACCTTAAACTCCCGAACCTGAAACCCTACGCAACACTTATCCTTGTAATGGGGTTATACACTCACGAACACATACACATCGTCACATTTTTTGACCCATCATCGAAAGCCCAAACGACTCAATGGTTCCCAATCAAGAATCCCGCTCCCTCCTAGGTGCTGTCACTGTGGACCTGTAATCCTAAAGTCCCTAGCAGACTTCGAACCACATGCCTCGCCTGGATTATCCGAGTATGAGCGCCGAAACCCTAAAGCAAGCCTGATCGTAAACCCTGAACCCTTGGCAAGTCCGAGTTGCGAGAGCGTAAATGCAAGTCTGATCGTAAACCCTAACCCCTACAAGCAAGTCTGATCGTAAACCCTATACCCCAACAGCAAGTCTGTGCGTAAACCCTAAACCCCAAAAGCAAGTCTGTTCCTGAACCCTAAACCGCCAAAAGCAAGTCTGATCCTAGACCCTAAACCCCCAAAACCAAGTCTGATCCTCAACCCTAAACCCCAAAAAGCAAGTCTGATCCTAAACCCTAAACCCCTAAAAGCAAGTCTGTTCCTAAACCCCACACCCTCGAGGTGCTATCACTGTTGACGCTATTTCGAGCAGAGATCCTCCCCTGGAGATGAAAACGACTCCTGTGGACTGGCTAGGTCCAAGTGAAAATAGGGGCCGAAATAATCATAATAGGGTTCCTTTAAGGATTCCTTTAGAGCGGTCGATAAGGGCTATTATAAGGGGTATTATGGGGGTTTAGTATAGGCGCGGAATAGTTACCTATCAAATTTTGGGTTCCTTATTATATTTATAGTGTAACGGGCCCCAGCGCCCTGTTCTATTTGTTAAGGCCGGCGCAAAAAGCACTGCAGTACCTATATAGATTCCCGAAAGGCAACTGCATACCTTCAAGCATATAATTCTACAATATCTAGCATACAAGTTTAAGTCCTGTCTAGCCTATATGACCTGATGATCGGAGAACAAGCCTCCATACCCGAGTTTCAGGAAGAAGGCCCCTATGTTACCATGAATGCAGGGGACTCTGATCTTGGGTGCACCGGCTCTGGTGTTTTTTTTTAAGCGGGTGTTCAGCCCGAGAATGCCATACATGTTTCAGAAGAGGCTTAGGGTCTATAGGGCTTAGGGCCACTCTGACATCGTAAGAGGTTTGTCGATCTTAGGACAGGGCTCCCTTTGAGGTCCCAAGAGAGATGTCCAAGTTTTGGAGACCCCCGACATAGCCTTGCATCTTGGCGAGGGGCTCAGTGCATCGGAAAACAGACGCAAGCGTCAAATGAGAGTTTGCATCTCTCCACAAGTAATTAAATAATTAAGTGCCTGCTTTGACTTCAGTCACACGTAACTTCCGCTCGATGGCATCGATTTCCTGACAAGTTCGGCTGTAGAAACCCTACATCCCCAAATGCCCCTGTAGAACTGGATGCCAGAGTCCTTGTAGAGGCTTTACATAACCCTAGAAACCGCCGTCAAGAACCCAAAACAACCCTCACACAACGACTGAAATCCTTATAAAAACCAAAGCGTACAAAATGCCAAACAACAAGTCATCTCACCGAGCCTCTCGTCGACCCAGTTGGGTTTCGTAGCTCTGTGCAAGTGCTGCCTGCGTCCCAAAAGTTTGGGTGTTTTTGTTTGGTTTACCCGTAGGCTGTATGGTAAGTTCCTTTTGGGGTTCACGTGTTGAAGCCTATAAGGTAATCCCAAAAAGGAACTTCTGTGGATCCTCTAAATAGAGACGGTTTAGAGTTTCCGATTCTTTGTTGCTTTACATATGGAAGTGCCACGACTGCTTGAACTCTGGATCAGCGTTTCGAATTTTGCGTGATCCTTTGTTGGGACACAGGCTGGACCTATAGTAGTTTCGGACGGCTGCCGGAGACTTAGCGGCCATCGAATCATTCGTTGCTTGTATACAAGGACAATTGTGTTGCAACCTTGCTCCTGTCGTTTCAATGACTGAACGACGGTGCGAATTCCCAAAGACATTGCTTCAGCATGTCTGTTTCACAACATCCGCCAGTTGCTGGTCTTGTCCATCGTTTCTCCGTTTTGCCGACTGGGGTAGAGTGGGTATGCGGTATGTTGTTCGGTTTTTAGGCGGATGTTAGAGCTTATGCGCCGCGAAAGGCCCACACGACGCAGATGCGGTCGGGAAGGGGGTTGCAAGCCGGACGTGATAGCCATCGGAGAGAAGTCAGAAACAAGTGGCTGAATTGTGCTTGCGTGGTCGCTCAGTGGGTCTTCATGATTTTCTGCGCAATTATGCACCTACAACATTCCAGGCTCGACCGTGAACCACACCTGAACTCTTCAACCCTTCCTTACCTTAACCCTGAATAACCTACCTTTTTAGGGTTCACTATTAAGATTTCCTTATATAGGTCCTTAAAAGGTAGGTTATCCCGGGTTAAGGTATGAACTGAGAACCGCGGGTTGTTGACGTGGCCTCGAGATTCTGACTGACAGCAAACTCTGCCAGAGCTCTTTTCGGGAGAAGTCCTTAATCATAGGGGGGGTGAGGCGGGTAGGGGACGATAATTACTTCCTTAAACCTTAAACAGGCCTTACTAGGTCTTGATTACCGGCATGAAGGCCTCCTCCCCCCCCCTCCCCCTACCCCTCTCAGGGTCCCCATGACTTAGGCAAGAGGCTTGGAAGGTACTGCTGTATCTATTGAACATGCTTGCTGTTCGTGCTCTGGACGGTTTGGTGTTGGGATGAGTTCAGGGCTGGAAGAGATGTAGAGTCGGGAGATAATCCGGACGACGAGTATGTGCTGGTTACGAGAATTCAGTTTGTCGTTGGTAGGTGCAGCCGAAGGAGGGCCCCAGATCGAACCCCGTGATCCGACCGAAGCCCTCAGACAGACAACACGAAGACAGAACCCCGTAGCCCTGAGCCGTAAAACCGAAAGAGTGATGCCCCCAACCTTTAACTTGCCAGAAGTGTATTATAGGGGCCTAAATAATTACCGATACTATTTTGGGGGCTCCTTATCATTTTTATAGTATATAGTGGGCCCCAAAACCTTGTTCTAATTATTAAGGCCCCTCTAGTAAACGTGAGGACTTTCTTGGACCCTGCAGACCTGTTGGTGGTATCATCCACTATACTCACCGAAGGAGCCCAGGCGCGCGCGCAGTGCGACGGATGCCGCGAGGCTGGGCTTCTGAGAGTTCTCACATTGGTTGTGTCAGGTTTTGTTTAGCGAATTTAGGCTCAGTCATCGTTCATCGTTCTTTTTCAGATGCGACTTGAGCTGCCACTTTGCGCACTGCTGTGCTCAGTGTGTACAGGCTGTACTGGGCTCCTCAATGAAAGTGGTGACTGTGCAAGAGACCTTGGTAAACAAATTTTCAGGGTTAGTCACGAATTTTGTTGGAGGCTTGGTCCAAGTCGTTTCTAGCATAAGTTTCGGTCAGCCGTTTCTGGAGCTGCTACGAGGTCCCCATGTAATGAGTCCAAAGCATGTGGGACTGGTTTCTTCCTCAAAACTACAGTACGTAATTTGTGGTAGAGTATATAAGAGCACAGCCTACCATAGCGCAGTTAGACATAGTTTGTTAGATATACTATATTAGTTTTACGATACCACAGGACATACTGTACTACTGTATGAATGGCTCTCAGATCCCGTGGCGGCACATTGCGCCGAACGTTGCCGAGCTTCGCATTGCAGCAGATCGCAGCTTTCAACCGGCAGGAGGGGATAAGGGTTCATCCCGACAGTTGACCTACACAGCCTTGTGCATCCCAAACCCATTTGGTTACTGGAGACTGTTTGAAGCATGGCCCACGTTCGCTCGTTCAACCGGCTATTCCTAAATGTTTCCCCGGGCCAATGAGAAACTGATCAGCGGGACAAGGACATGCTCATCTACGCTGCTGCCAGGCGGGTTGTGACAGATGGTGGGCAGAAGAGCGATGCTTGCACTTCAGAGTAGAAGGTAGGAGGTCACACTCACCCAAACCATGCAATAAGGGCATTAGCCTTTTTTCGCGATTCGGCTTCCATGTTTTGAGCCATGCAAGCCATCGGCCGGAAGTAGCATGCAAGGTCTGTAGCATTCTAATTATGATGTATTAGATCTGCTTCGGGTATGGCGTGCGCGTGCGCATGTACCGCAGTTCGAGCTTGAGAGCCCGTTGCAATGCTTGTGCTTCCGCCGATACATGGCCCTACTGCGTTGGCGACCCCGACAGCCATTAAGGGCTGCCCGTAGTAGTTAGTTCCTGTGGAGTTACTGCGCGCAGTTTCTTGCACTTGGGCGCTGGGCAAGGGTTTTGCATTAAAGGCTCCCCGGTTCCCTGCAGGACGACAAAACCCTAATGTTCTGCGGATCTCAACCCTTTCCCTAAAGCCAAAGAAACCCTAAAGACAAATAAGCACCAAAGCCAAATAAACCCTTAAACCAAAGACACCCTCAACCGCATAAACCCTGAACAAACGCAAACCCCTAAACCCGATTGCACGTTGAACCCTAAACCCACATAAAACCTAAACCCAAATTAATATTTAATAAGGAATGCTAGACTTCCTACAAACCCTACAGTAAACCCAAACAAAACCTAAACCGAAATAAAACCTAAGCCCAAATAAAACCTAAACCCAAATAAAACCTAAACCCAAAGAAAACCTAAACCCAAAGAAAACCTAGATCAAGTTTATACCATAAACCCTAAAGCCGACGCCTGCGCACCAGAAGCAGTTGGCCCAAGCATCAGACGCCAACTGAAGATCGGATCGGCCCTGGGACGCTCGGGACCGGAGGATCTCCCCCGACGGAAATGGAAGTCGCTGGGACGGAAGAGGGTTTAAGGCAGTTTGTAATAGGGTTTGGGGCAGTTTCAGGCTTAGGGTTTAGGGCAGTTTAGGGTTTTGCGCGGTTTAGGGTTTAGGGCAGTTTAGGGTTGACAGTTTTAGTGTTTTGGATTTGGGCTGGTTCTCAAACATACGGGGTGGCTTACCTGCTTTTGTCAGCGCAAGGTCACAGTGATCGACTCCGGTGATTTGCCCCCTGGCACCCCGGCACTGAATGTTGAAGCGGTGAGGAGGATTGCGAAGGTTTTGGAATTTTAGGGTACAGCTTTCCTGGCCCGGAGAGCGGAAGGAAGGGCCGGGAACGGGTCAAGCTTTTTGAGTATGGCTAGGTCAGGTGTGGTGTTACAGTGTGTCAAAGGACGACAGGCTCACGTGTGGCCATCAGGTCCAGCCGTAGGATAGTGTAAGCATTCAATATCCTGAACACTAGAACCGAGCGCTGAGCCTCCAGTCTTCAGCAACCACCCAGATTCCAGATCAATATGTATGCTAGATGCAGCAGCCGGAGCAGCCCAAATACAGTGGAATGAGAAAAATGATCTAGGCAATTATTTCTCCTACCTCCAGACATTGGGTTCCTGTGCGTGAGCACTATCCAAAAAGCCCATCGTGAATAGTTAACCCATGACGACAGCATAGCAGCATCTGCAGCAGTAGCAACAGCAAAAGCAAAAGCAACAGCAACAGCAGCAGCATCATCAGCAGCAGCACCGGTAACAGCACCAGCAACAGCAACAGCAACTGCAAACACAACGGCAACGACACCAGCAGCAGCAGCAGCAGCAGCAGCAGCAGCAACAACGGCAGCGGCAGCGGCAGCGGCAACAACGGCAGCGGCAACAGCAACAGCAACAACAACGGCAGCGGCAACAGCAACAGCAACAACAACGGCGACGGCAGCGACAAGACAACGACAACGACAGCAGCAACAACAACAACAACAACACCAACAACAAACCATCAGCAATAACAGCAACAGCGACAGCGACACCAACACCAACGTCAACAACAGTTTAAGCAACGCCAAAACAAACACCTTCATTACCCCATGATTTTCACAATCGTCATCGTCGACACCATTAGTAGCGCCATCATCGTCATCAACATCAACACCAACCCCAATGTCCCATTGTCAACATCACCAATGGACCAACATCAGCCATGAACCCTTAACCCTAAAACGCTCGAAATCCCGAAACTGCAGAACGAAGTCCCGCCCTAGACCCTGAGCCCTAACTTTCGAGGTGCGATCATCTCCTTCCACACGGGAACTACCCGTCGGCATGCACAGATCGAAACAGGAAAGGCCATCGGTGTTACAGGCCGGGCATTCGGTGCGATTTACAATTTTTTGAGGTTTATGGTTCGTTGCTTGGGATTTCGGTCTCCAGGGGCGTGGGTTTTGGGATCAGGATGTGCCGTTCAACCTTCTGCAGAACCAGGGCTCGTTCTTCACCATTAAACTTTTTGTGCCTGGTGGAGGGGCACTGATTTGCATGAATCGAGTTTGTATCATTATTACCCTCAGTGCTTTTTATTATTTTGATCATTGTCTCCGAACCCTGTAGCCAAATCCACAAATCTGTGCCACGGCTTGCATGAAGCTAGCCGGAGTACTATGCAAAATCAGAGTCCCCAGAGGATCCTCAATCCTGCCTGCCTTCGTCCCACCTTTTGAGGCCTCCAACCTAGACACCATGGACCATGAGAAGGATTCTAACCCTGAGCTCTGAACCCCTAGAACTACTCTGAATCCCTTGCGTTCAAATCCTTCAAAAGCATTACATTTAAGCCCTCGGATCGAAGGTGTTTTTTGTTTGATGATTTGGCTGTTTAGGGTTCCAAACAAGAGGTTGGAGTCAACAGTTGTGTTGGTTGTGAGAAAGGTAGTGTAAGGTTAGGAGCCACCACCGATGTTTATTGTTTACGTTTCGAGTTGAAAGGTTAGTTGTCATTCCCGTGCTATTGATTCCTCGTGCATGGAGAGAAGTTTAGCGAAGATACAGGAAACATCTTTATCGCCAGGCATTGGAACGGAACCTGTGCGCGTGGACCTGCTGCTGGGCTTGACTCGTTTATCGCTCACATGTTGACCCTAACTCCAAACCCCGTGCCCCACTAATTAGACACTTCATTCTAGGTGCACCTTCGGGAAGGTCGTGTTGGTTCGTCTTCTCCGTAGAAGTATATAGCGAAAAGCGACGACAACAGCCATGTCGGCAACAGCAACAGCAGCAACATTATGGCAGTGGCAGCGGCAACTTTCGATGATACAGCAGTAGCCATAATTTTCTTCATTGCCAAACATTGACACAAGACGTGAAGAAGCACAAATGAGTAGAAAACTCTGTGCTTTGCAATAGGATATTCTTTTGGATTAACCGCCGACGACCTTGCCGGCTAATTTCCATGAGCCTAAAACCAACCTAAATCGCGAAAAGCAGCCCGAGACCCCTCCAATGGTTCTGGGAAATCTCAGGATGACCCAAATTGGGAGCTACAGCTTCGACGTGACGCCGGGCCAGGACGTGTACGAAGCACCTCAGCTCTCCTCTATGAGAACTCCTCAGAGCCCTTTACAACATCCAGACTCTAAAACCTTCAGGCGGTACAGGGAGAATTGGCTTGATATTAGGGTGTTAGAGGGGGTTTTAGGGGATGGGAAGGCCGCAACCCCAAACTCTAATCATCCCAAACCCCTTGGACCCAGTGGCTGAAGCCATGCCTGCCTTGCGCGAGTGTGTGAGTCGAAACCCTGAAACCTGCTCTGAACACTTCCATTCTCTTGCCAAGGTACCGATCGCTGCCGCCCCAAACTTGGGAGTGCACGAGGAGATGGGAAGTTTGGGGTTTAGGGTTTGGTATTTCGGGCCTCGGATTTAGTGTTTAGGGCTTAGGGGCTTAGGGTTTAGGCTTAGGGATTACGATCCTTTTACTGAGGGCGCCAGGCCTACACTGCCGGCACTGATGCAGACTCCAGATTCCCAAATCCAAAAACCAAAACCCCTAAAGCTCACTACCCAAAAACTAAACACTGAAAACCCAATGAAAGCCCGCCACTGACGGAATCCCGGAAGCAACCCTTAAAGGAACCCTTACAACGAACCCTTCCTGTAATGGAATCCGAAAAGGAAAGGAATCCCCCATACCCTAAACCTTAGAAAGGAATCCCAGATCCGATCCCAGGAGGTGAAGCTAAAGTTTCAGATCCGCGAGACTTCGGAGGAACGCCGTGGGTAAGGAATAGTGCTATTGCTTGTAACGTGCAAGTGCGCTTGCACTACTACTACTACTACTACTACTACTACTACTACTACTACTACTACTACTACTGCTGCTACTGCTACTGCTACTGCTACTGCTACTGCTACTGCTACTGCTACTGCTACTGCTACTGCTACTGCTACTGCTACTGCTACTGCTACTGCTGCTGCTACTGCTGCTGCTGCTGCTGCTGCTGCTGCTGCTGCTGCTGCTGCTGCTACCGCTGCTGCTGCTACTGCTGCTGCTGCTACTGCTACTACTTCTACTATGTAGTAGTAGTACTACTACTACTACTACTACTACTACTACTACTACTACTACTACCACTACCACTACCACTACCACTACCACTACCACTACCACTACCACTACCACTACCACTACCACTACCACTACCACTACTACTACTACCACTACTACTACTACTACTACTACTACTACTACTACTACTACTACTACTACTACTACTACTACTACATTCACGACTCCTACTAGTGCTACTAGTACCACTAGGTGTGTTTACCAGCTTGCAGTTTCGTGAAAGGGGAGAACTGAAATGAGAGGCTGGCCCTTTCCTTCTCTCAAAACCGCACCCCGTGGTCCTATGCGCAAGAACACCTTGAACTCTTACCACGGAGACTTGCGCAGATCATCCTTTTCGGAGTACTATAAGATTCCTCACGCTTCATCCTACTTGTCGTTCCAGCTCCCAGATTGTCCAGCTTCTTATAAGTTGACGAATCTCTTTCTGATTCTAAGGTGTCCTGAATGTACGGATGTCGGACTTTCTACTAGCACCCCAAAGCCATCAAACGCAGGCGCCAAAGGAACAAGCGGCCGGAGTCCCAGTTGGCGCCACAAGTACGCCCTCCCGGAAGCTACAGACAGCATTGATGATGCTTGGCATGAGAGGGTTCTAGAGGGTTGGAATGTGATTAGAAGGGGGCTTGGGGACTGGGGGGTCTATAATGCTACAACGGTAGCAACCCTCAGGAAGAGTTTTGGCAAGTAATCATTCAGGCCCTTCCGCAAACCTTAAGCCCCCATACTACATGTTTCCGGATTGTCATATTTGCCACCTGGTTGAACTACAAGTACCTCACAGACTCGCAGCTGACCGTAATGCGCGGTCCGGATAAGTATCACTGGTATTACGGTATCCCCTAATAGCCGCTATACTTAAACTGAAAGATACACGAAAACCCTGTTCTGATCATGAAGGCCCCTTTAGAACCCCCAGAAAGCCATACAAGCCCCATATGAGCTTCTCGATACATCTTGAGCCCAATTTTGACAGACCCTTTTTTTGGATGCTTACACCCCCGCCCTATAAACACCTTTTCACAGCATCCTGGTCCCCTCTACGATACCTAGATTAGGTTACGATCCAGCCTGAAGCGCTCGGTGTGATTTCTGCAAGTCTCTCAAACCGGCTGCAATCCCAAAGGGTCCAAGTATCATCTCGGTATATACTTGGACCCCCAAAATACCCTATAAGTATATACCATAATGATACTTGGACCCTTTGGGAAGTTGAAACTGCATCCTCAACATCAGACCTCCGAGGCTTTACTCACGTAAAAGCCACTGGAAAGCTCTCAAACCATGCGGGGTCATTGGTGGTTCAAAGGAGTTGTGGAGTGCATGGTTTCAAAAGTAGATACGGGACTACGATAAGCTTTAAATTTTATTAGGAGACATTATTTGACCCAATTAAGAAGATCCCTAATCGAACGGTTTCAGGATAATTTCAGGGAAATCTACGAAACTCCTATTATCACGCTGGTCCTCAAGAAGGCGTGTAACAATCAGAGGTCTTGTTGATGGAGCAGTTCCGCACGTTTTGCGAGCCTGAGGATGCGCACGTACTTGGACAACCACGACGTCTTGCGGCAGATGCAAGAATTGCTGCAGGACAGCTTCCACACATGTCATGCCCCCATGCCTTTCAGGACCATTCTACATGAAGTTCGACGCTGGAGTCGGATCGCTAGGTCTAACAACGACGAGATTAATATAGGGGCGTCAATAATTAGAAGAGGGTCTTGTGGTATCTTCTACTTCAAGCATAATACAGAACCCTGCAGAAAAGTATTTGTAATGATGGACTTGAAGCTCCTATAGTACAGAATCAAAAGCTTATGATTTTAGGGGGCAGGGCAGCTGAGACACGAGGAGCTTCGGGCTTCACAGCCTTAGACGGTTTAGGGTTTAGGGTTTAGGGTTCTACTATGAACCCTAAATATTTACCTACACTTTAGAAGGGGCCCCCCCACCCTGTAATAGTGATATGATAGGAATATAATAGGGCCCAAATATGATACTTATAGTCACTATTAAAGGGTGGGGGCAGCTTCTAAACTATAGGGGCCTAAATATTTACCTGCACTACTTGTGGGGTTCCTTATGATGATTGTCGTATAATGTACCCCAAAACCCTATTCTATTCGTTAAGGCCCCAATATTAAGCCCATCCCCGCGAGGCGAACTTCGTCAAGTGAGCTATCAGTTACTGCTAGTCTCTACCATATCTAGCTCTGTATACGTATGTGCGTAGACCTGTGTACACACACACATATATACATGTTATTTACATGTGGATGTATATATATATATATATATATATATATATATATATATATTTATATTTATATTTATGTGCAGATGCCCATCCTTCACCAGGTCCCCCCCCCCACTTCACGTTCGAAGCGGGCGCGAAACCTGAAGCCCAACTACCAAGACCTAAGGTCAGTCCTTGGGCCCCCCCTCCTCCCCCGCCTGGTTGATATGTGGGCCTGAATATTTCGAGAATGGTTTAGAGTTATCGTTAATAAATATTTGGGAATAGGAAAGAATCATCTTACACAATCTTCCGGCTTATATAAGAGCTCCAGGGTTGAGTCAGATTATTGATTATTCAGGTGGTTCAAGCCTGCCGCCAGATGGAATCAAACTTCTCAGTCTCAGGCGCAAGAAAGGGTTTTGCTGCCCCGATGCCCTAAACCGTAAGCCACCCCGGGCTCACCAGACTTTCCGAAGCCCTAAACCCAGATACGATCAGGTCTTCTAGCTCCGCTATCCCTCGGGCTCCAGTAACCTCCATAGTAGGTTGCGATTTAGGTAACTGGAGCCCCAGGCTATAAGGTCCTAAACTAAACTTTGTGGTCCCTCGAGGTTGGATTTAAAAAAAATCGGAAGCTAAGCGCCAGCATCCCTGCCTCGGCCGCTGAGCACTCCGAGCTCCCAGGAGAATCTTACCTTCGGTTAGTAGGGAATGGGAGAATGGTTCCTTAAAGGGATCTATAGGGGTTCCTTATAATGGGATCTATAGGGGTAGTCTTACCCAGGGAATGGAAGAATGGTAGTAATTAATAGTACTGTAGTTATAATTGTACCTCCATTCCTCCATTCCCTATCAATGAAAGGTAAGTTATAGGATTATTAGGGCCCCTATGTTAGAGTGCCCTTATAGATCCCTGAAAGTAACCCTTATAGAGCCCCTTACTATCAATGAAAGGTAAGGAAGAAGCCGAAGAGGTCGAAAACTGAGACACTGAGCCGAAGCAGTTCTCTAATTTAGGGTCCCTTGCAGTAGGGTCCTTCTTCTAAGGGTGCCGTACTATTCTGGGGACCTACAAAGGAGACCTAACAAAGATAACTACCCATAGGTCCGTAGGATCGCACGGGTCAGGACATGGTGGCCAATCGACCGGAAGACCCGGTCGACTTCATGATCAAGCGCTTGGAGGTGCCCACCAAGCCTTGGGAGTTTAGAGTTTTGTCGCCCCCCCCCCATTGTCGCGGCTTTGTATAAAATCTCCAGAGGATTTTCTAGCAAGGGTTCTCTAAGGCTTCTAAGGTTCAGTAGAGTTAGGGCTTTCAGCGGTGGCGTTTCAGGGTCCAGGGTTTCGGGTTTAGTGCTGAGGATTTCGATTCTTAGACTTGGGGCTGTCTGTGGGATCAAATGCGAAGAGCATGCGCCCGGGACCCAGAGACTCCAATATCCCTGAATTAAGGAATATACCTTAAGTCAAAGTAGGATCCCTCATTATGACTTAAGGAAAATTCCTTCATTAAGGGACATTGCAGTCTCTGGGGAGTTGTTGGTGAAAGCCCGGGCAGTGTCAAAGACTCCCGGCGAGCCTGGCCTCAAACACATGGTAATCTCCATGGAGCCCTTGTTGTAAGTACCCTTCTAGCAACTGTCATAGAAATCCGCATAGAACCCGAAAAGCCCTTGCAGGACCCCTCTCGTATCCCGTATAAGAGCCCTTCGTCGCTGTGGCTTGGAGGCGGTTTGCAAGGACAGCCAGGGCACCGACTACGATCTCGTCGACGGGGCCCCATGGCGGAAACGTCTTTTAATTGCTATGTGTTTTGGAAGTGCGTTTTTCAGCGTTTTAGAAGCTAGGGGCGCTGTCACGAGCACAGTCCTAATTGGCGGAGGAGCGGCTAACTCCCAGGCGTCCTTGCGTGCGACCCTGCAGCCACAAACGGTCCCTTAGGGTAAGGGCAAGACTTGCCGAGGAGACCGCTGGCACGATCCTCCCCGCAGAGGAACCGAAGCCGAAGCAAGATGCTGCAGCTGACAGCGATGAGGACGACGTGTACCATATTACAGTTTACAGTATATCACAAAACCTCACTTTGAGTTCGGTCATCGTTGTGAGGACGTCAATGATGTCAAGCACGCCATGCATGATTGCAATGGCAATAGTCTCAGAGTCTCCACAAGCCCTAAGCCTACAGAAGCCTAAACCCCCCGAACACCCCAAACTTCAAAGCCTTGGGGCAAAAGTCAAGTCACATGGGACCTGGCGTGATGCAGGACAGCGGAGGTGACGATGAGGGCCCCGATCTGCCTCCTCCGTGCTTTGGCGGGTTTAGGTTTTAGGTTTTAGGTTTAGGGTTCAGGTTTTAGGTTTAGGGTTCAGGTTTTAGGTTTAAGGTTTAGGGTTTAGGGTTTTAGGGTTTAGGTTTTAGGTTTAGGGTTTAGGTTTTAGGTTTAGTGTTTAGGGTTTAGGGTTTTAGGGTTTAGGTTTTAGGTTTAGGGTTTAGGTTTTAGGTTTAGGGTTTAGGTTTTAGGTTTAGGGTTTTAGGTTTTAGGTTTAGGGTTTAGGGTTTTAGGGTTTAGGTTTCAGGTTTAGGGTTGAGGTTTTAGGTTTAGGGTTTAGGGTTTTAGGGTTTAGGTTTTAGGTTTAGGGTTTAGGTTTTAGGTTTTAGGTTTAGGGTTTAGGGTTTAGGTTTTAGGTTTAGGATTTTAGGGTTTAGGTTTTAGGTTTAGGGTTTAGGGTTCAGTCATCAAGTCCGGTTTCAAAAAGGTTTTGCAGCATTTGCCTTGGGTTTTGAGTTTCTGCTTGGTGCGTGATGCCAAGCAAGTGGTTAGGACAAGTGGGACCGTACGATTTAGGTTCTGTTTCTGATTCCGTCAGTGTCCGAAGATCTACAAAAGAGCAGAAAGACAACTGATGGGGAATTGGGGTCACGAGGCCTAGGGAAGTTTTGGACGCGAATTGCTTGGTACTCAACTCCGGTAAGAGCTGATCACTCCTCTGGTTGTTTCATGGCCAGAGTCAGAAAGTTTCTTCCTTTTGATTGAACGACGGCAGTTGGGCGCCGCTGCGCAGCCTCAGCACACCCGACCTCCGCAAGAAGTCAGTTCAGAGGTGGCAGACACACATAAACAAATGCGCACACACGCACACACAAACGGCCGTGAAGACCTCAACCCTGGCCCCTCAAGCAGTCAGAGTCAGACCTTCTAGCTTGCTGGAGGCCACCCGTGCAGCGCAAGCAGAGACAGTCCGTGTCTGCGGAGGTCACTCGCGACAAGTTTAGGCTTCGGAGCTGACTATTGCTTGCTGCCTGCAACCTGATGGGCAGTTTATTCACTTCTGCTGATAACGATTCGCTGCTGCTGCTGCTGCTGCTGATACTACTACTACTACTACTACTACTACTACTACTACTACTACTACTACTACTACTACTACTACTACTACTACTACTACTACTACTACTAATCTACTACTACTACTTCTACTGCTACTACTACTGCTACTGCTACTGCTACTGCTACTACTACTACTACTACTACTACTACTACTACTACTGCTGCTACTACTACTACTACTACTACTACTACCACTACCACTCCTACTCTACTACCACTACCACCGCCACTACCACTACTACCACTACTCCTACTACTGCCACTTCTACTGCTACCACCGCTGCTTCCACCCCTCAAACAACAACAACAACAACAACAACAACAACAACAACAACAACAACAACAACAACAACAACAACAACAACAACAACAACAACAACAACAACAACAACAACAACAACAACAACAACAACAACAACAACAACAACAACAACAACAACAACAACATCAACATAAACAACAACGACAACAACAGCAGAGAAGTAGTAGTAGTAGTAGTAGTAGTAGTAGTAGTAGTAGTAGTAGTAGTAGTAGTAGTAGTAGTAGTAGTAGTAGTAGTAGTAGTAGTAGCAGCAGCAGCAGTAGCAGTAGCAGTAGCAGTACTAGTAGTAGCAGTAGTAGCAGTACTAGTAGTAGTAGTAGTAGTAGTAGTAGTAGTAGTAGTAGTAGTAGTAGTAGTAGTAGTAGTAGTAGTAGTAGTAGTAGTAGTAGTAGTAGTAGTAGTAGTAGTATTAGTAGTCGTAGTCGTAGTCGTAGTTGTAGTCGTAGTCGTAGTCGTAGTGGCAGTGGTAGTGGTAGTGGTAGTCCTGCTCCTGCTATTGCTACTGCTACTGCTACTACTGCTGCTACTGCTGCTCCTTCCCCTACTCCTACTTCTACTTTGACTTTACTCCTACTCCGTGGTTTTCTTTTTCCCACCCGCCACCGCTACCTTCATTCCCACCGTTCTGAGGAGGAGTAAAACGATAACAGCAGTTCCCTGCAACAGAGGTTGTTACGCTTGGTTGCAAGGTTTGTGGAATCAAGATTAGAGGATAGGGGCCTAATAGCCGGGGAGATTGCAGGAATTATTGCAAGTTGCATGGCTTTTTCAGGGCCATACCGGGGCTTGCTACTTTTTCGCTAAGCCCGATGATAATGGTAGGCAATGTTAGGTGTTCCAGCCGGATGAAAGGTAAGTTTTCGCTGCAGCCCAAAGCTGGGAACCAAACGGGTGGTTGTCAAAATTGGGGTCCCTTTTAGGTACCCTAAACAATAGGTGCCGTATTATAATAGGGACCCAAAAAGGGACCATCATTTTGACAGCCACCCAAATGGACAATCAGGCCTATGGTGCCTTCAACGAGCGCAAGGCCTATGAGCCCAAGGTCATTCCCAAGGACCCTGGATTTATGCATGCTTAGAGCTTCGAATTTCCAGGAGGGCTCTTGGTTTCGGGCTTGGGTTTCCGGCCGTGTGGGGTATAGGGGTGTAGCAACCTCGGCCCACAACTTCTTGACCCGAACCCCCTTTTTTGTGTCCAGGACCAGTCTCAGAAGGACCGCTTAGAGAAGGTCCTGCAGCAGTGTTGGATGCACCTCGGCTTTGGCTGGCGAGGGACCGGAATGCATGTTCAAGAGGCACAGCCACTTGAGGTTTTCCAGTCATGGAGCTGCATATAAATACCATTCGAGAGAAGAGGGCTTTAGACAAACATGGGCTGTGAACCCGTCTAGTAAACTTGCTGTATCAACGCGAGCTGGTGGAGCCGGTTCTTGTGTTGATTCCTTTTCTGACATGCATAGCCCGGCCCCTTGATCACATATGATGGGTTTTGATGCACGATCCGCCGGCATCTTCGCAATCCAACCATGACTGTTCTGCTATCATCGGGCGAGTCGTTGCTGACATGTGACATATGTGTTAAATGTTCCCAGCACATGTACAGCAAAAATATCTTAAGCCCAATTACCGAGGTTTCCCACGGATTGACCCTTGAAGCCTTGAATGTCAGGTTCAAGCATCACACGCCGGAGAACCTCAAGATCATATTGGATGCGATGCAGGAGAAGGTGGACCTGTTTCCGAAGTTTCGCTTTCCTTGCCAATGTTGCGGGAGAGTTCCAATAGGTCATTGGCTGGTTGTAGTGTACTTATACTGTAATATTCTCCCCTCCCCCCCCCAAATCCGTGCTCTTCCAATACTCCCATACTCCCCTAGGAGTTAATCCAACGGGGGGTCATATTGGCTTCCTCCCCCCCGTTCCCCCCCGTTGGATTAACTCCTGGGGGAGTATCAGTAACAGTGTAAGGCCTTATGGACCTAAAGGCTGCAAAAATGTCTTACCACTGCTGTTTTGCCCCACAGACAGAGTCGGGTTTAAGCGATCGGGGCTTTTAGGGTTTTAGGGTTTGAGAAGAACTCGTATCAGCCTACGGCATCTGACGAGACTTCGCCCCTGCACCCTGCGTGTGCCTTCGATATCGCCAGGTTCATCCCATGAGTCGACTGATACAGAGCGTCCTAAGTCTGAGGGGTCGCAAGCCTCCTAGACAGGAAGCAATGCCGCAGCTTATAACGTAATTACGAGACATGTAAAAGTAAGGATTAACGACATGGCCAGGACGTGCAAGTTGCTTTGGGTGTTCAGGGGAGTTGCACAGCTGAAGGGAAGCAAATGTCTTGGAGCAGGGTAAAGGACGGGAGAAGAGCATGCAAGAGTCTAGATCAGGGTGCCGCGGTGTGGTTCATGGGGGTCCTCGAACCAGCATGACGCTCAGAAACAATCGCAGACCCTCAAGCCGTTAAAACCTGGTCATTCACCGCCAGCTGCTTCAAGGTGGTGGAAAGTGGGACCCGTCTTATTCAGCAAGGTGGCTCTTGGGAGTGTGCTGGAGGGACTGACAAAGCATGCCGGCATTTGTCACAGTTTCGTATGGCTGGCACCAAAGCCCTAGACTTGCTCGAAACTGAACTGTTGCTTTAAATGGGAAGGTGCTGGCAGTAAATAAACGTTACACCTTCAGTTAAAACTGCAGTGCCTAGCGCTTCTCGTCACATTACATATGCTTCTTGCTCCCTCGCACTGACATCACAGCCGAGCAGCGATTTTACAATGAAAACTCATAAAAGCGGTATCAAAAACCAATATCCAGCAGAAGACCCTGCGTAACACCAGACGAGGTGTAACAGAAGCCCCACATGCTGTTCATGCAGAACATGTTTGCTTATGTACACATGTTGTAACACACGCTCACACACAGAGCAGCGACCGCACAAACCTTTTGCAAGGATGCATCAAAAGTCAAAAGATTGTCAGGTCGGTGCAATTGTGAAACTCTGCGCTATTGTGCTATGCCGGCCATGTTCAGGTGAATCTCCAGGAGGTCCTACAGGGCTGTTGTGTTTGTGTTTGGTGGGAGTTCTCTGAAAGTTCTTCTCTGTGTGTATGTGTGTGCGTGCTCGTGTGTGTTTGTTTCTTGTCTTCTCTTCTGGGGGTTGTTTAGTGCCTTCCGGTTTGGGGGACTTGGTGGCCGTGGTTGATGTGACTTGAAGTTCGATACATAAAGTGCTGTTGAAGGCTGACGCGAGAGTCACTCGGAGAGCTTCCGGCATCAGAGATCCAGTTATTTAGGGTTTTAGGGATTTTAGGGTGTATGAAGGGTTCACTCACGGTTCAGGATTTAGGCTTGCTTGCATCCACGCTCATTGAGCTTCATGTTTTTCAGGACAAGCAAAAAGACACAGTTCGGACCGTGCATGCCGGGCTTTTGGAAGCGAGGACCCAGAGAGATCAGCGGTTGCACACTAACGGCGAGGCAGCAATGCAAGTACAGAGCACAGTAAGCTCCAGACGAATCGTTGTACTTTTCGTCAAAAACTTCATCGGTCCGCTGGCAAAAAACAAGGTGTTCAGCTGCAGTTCGTCGTGTCGATCTGATTTTCGCTTCCCTAAACCCTAAACCCTAAACCCTAAACCCAAACAGGTGACGAGGGCGAGGTCATGTGGGTGATCGAGGAGGGCGAGCTCGAATGCTTCAAGAAAATCGGCGACGAGGCCAGGTTTCCCTTGCCCAGAGGCTCTATAGCATTTCCTTGTTTGGAGTACCTTGTGTATGTATATATATATATAAACATATAGAGATAGGATTCTACATATGAACCCAAAAGAGATTATTATGGAGCCTATGGGTAGAGGTGTTTCGAAGAAGCACCGACCTACTGATGTCCCTTCCTTTTCCCCGCCAGCAGCTGTTGACCGTAAGTGCGTAAAGGGATGCGAGGTGTCGTTTTGGCATAACTTCCCATTTCCCCCTTATTGTTTAATATAGAAGCCTATTTACACAGAACTGAAGTATAGGGACTGTTGAGCTTTTTACCCAGGACGTGCATAAGCTTGTTCCAAATTTTCCGATGCCCTTGGGCCCCGAAGCTTGAGTCGAAGTGCTGAGAAGGGTCCCAGGAGCCCCCCGGGTGTTTCTCAGGAACCATGTTCCTGTTTTGGCATTCGAACAAAATTCAGGGGCTTACCCAACGAATGAGCATGGTTCTAAAAGAGGGTGCAAGGGGCGTATAGTTACGTTTCAACTTACAGTAGTACAGGAAAGCATAAGGCTTGCTTGCTTCAGTTATGGTGCTTACTAAGAACCCAGAATAAGCGATGGTTCCGAGTGACACCGGACCAGACAAGCTAAGATGCTTCTCCATGTTTTGGTAAGGGGATCAAATGAAGCCTTTCCCATTGATACTTGCGACAGGGTTCCCGACACCCTATAAAGTCTAAACCCGACCCGTGTACCATGTGTCGAGGAGAAGTCTGTCAAGAAATGCTCGCGCGGCGATGTCTTCGGGGAGCTTGCGCCCTCCGGCTTGGTATAGATATGTCCGCGAAGGGGAATAGAAGGCCAGCCGTAGAACCGTAACGTACTATGGGAGCTTTGACAATAATGAAATGTTAATTGCACTAGTGTTCCTTGGGCCTCCGTGTTATATGTAACTGTAACAGATTTGATACACCCCAACATAGTTCTAGTCATGTTAGATTGCAGGGGTGCCGTCAGGTTCTCGCCAGAAGAGCGCAGAGCCGTAGGCATTGGATGTTCTGCTAGTTCCGTCCTAGCGGAAAGGCTTGGGCATCTTTCCGCTAGGGTCCTTGCAGTATATAGAAGGTGAAGACACAGACCCCACCATCCCTCACCATACCGAAGCTTCGCACGATCCCCTGCTTCGATTCAGTGAGTACTCTTTACCCAAAGGCCCCAGAGTAGTTCCTTTCTGGGGTTCGTATATAGAATCCAATAAGGTAATCCCAAAAAGGAACTACTTTGGGGCCTCTGGGTAGTTGGGATGTTTTGAGTCTTTGTGTGCGTCGGAGCCGGGGTCCGATAGTCCGAGCTCTTGATTGACGATAAGGGGCTCCTAAACCGGATCCCTCCCTAAACCCGGTAATACAGGGGCCTAAACATTTATCAATACTATTTTGGGGGCTCCTTATTATAATTATGGTATAATGGGCTCCAAAACCCTATTCCAATTATTAAGGCCGCTATGTCGCCTGGTGGATCCCTCAGCCCTAAGCCACAAAGACTTGTTCATCAAAAAGAGCGCACAAGGGTGTCCTAGAAGCTTCGAGCTCTCGATTTCAGTTCTAGTGTTGCAAGATGCTCAACCCCTCCATCCCGACAACATATAGTCTGAAGTTCGATCCAACGCTCATTTCGAAGACTCCAGACATTGTCGCACTCCCTGTCGCAATCGTTGTACTAGTTCCCATATATGGCAAGACATGACCACGAGCCTGTTCTACTTGTGACAGGGCCCCCGTCACTATGGACTTCCAGAACATGTCGAAAGTCTAAGTCTAGGTCCTACATACCCCACCTCAAACCTCAAACTCCGGATTTGGGGATGTGGGTTGTGCATTCTTATACCCTAGAACCCGAACCGCTCAAATCTCGTGCCCCTGTGCGTTGGGTGACCGGTGGCGCTGGCGTTCTTGCCCCCGGACTCCTCCCCAATGCAAAGCAGCTCAACCTTGCTCTAGATCCTACGCCCCGAGCCCTGCCCTAAAAACTAAGCCTTGTACCAAAAAGCCCTGCCCTGTCCTGCACCCCTTCACCCCGAGGCTCCTCTACAACTGCCGGCGAGCGGCTTCAGTGGTTGCATCGCAGCCGCTCAGCTTGTTTTTTGATGCTCGAAAAAGGGTCTGTAGAAACAGCATTGATAAGACTAGTAATTAATAACAGTGGGTTTGGAGTTTACGCATTGGGGTTTGGGTTTGAGGCTTGTCTATCAACGTTCAGTTGAAGCTCGAAGCTCTAAGCCGGGAAACTTGGCTACAGTGCGTTCTTTGCTCTCGAGGCAAGGTAGCTCTAGCTTTGGGAGCTTACTTTTTGAAGCCGCAGATGGCCCGCTGCAAGAAGGAATGCTATCCACGTACAGACCCTATAAAAAGATAAACTGCAATATACCCCACTATTCCCTTATAGGTGCCCCAGCGAAGCGTTTATGCCTCAGGGTGCCTTGCTTTTTCCGAGCACAGCGTCCAGGAAGAGCGTTCTCTGGGAGTTGGATCGCGAAACCTTCAAGGCCATCTGCTACGAGGCAGCGCAGAAGGCCCCCCGAACGAGGGACAGAAACATGGGGCCTTCAAAAGAGTAGGGTTCGGGGATCGAGTATAGCATGCTTTCAGGGATTACAGCGGGAAAAGGGATAAGGGATAGTGTTAGTAATGATTCAGATTTCTATGGAAAATCCATGTCGTGGGACCTTAGGGCGCCTTTGTGTTTGTGTAAGGTTCCCTTTCCGGATGGTTTGGACAACTGCGCATGCAGTCGTGCAAGGGCTGGCTTTAGAGTTTAGGGTTTTGGTGGTTTTGGGATTCTGATTAGTGGAGTGCTTTTTTGGGGAGAGAGCTTTCCTAGTGATGTTGCGTGACATTTTGAAGAGGCTGGTTGCTTTTGACGTGGCTTGAGTTCCTCTAACCCAAATCCCAACACCCTAAGGCTAGGACTGTTGCCAAGCGAGTTTTGTTCGGGAGGCACTTAGCTTGGTTTTCGTGTTCCAGGCTTGTGCATTCCGGTTTGTGGGTTGTTGGGTTTGGAGGAACTGAGAGCCTAAGCCGGAACTCTAGACCTCTCAGCCCTAAACCCGCTCAAACCCCAAACCCTGTAGATGAGATCGTGATCTCACAAGCACCTACATCTTAAGGCCCTTGTAATAGACAACAGCAGTTTGAAGCCTAATCCACGGAGAGTCGAAGCCCTGCAGCCGACCGGAAAACCTGGGCCGGTATAGTATTCTATATACTCATACTAGAATACTGTAAACGCACTAGGATTCTGCTATATTTGTACGATATTTTTACTATAGTTATACCTGAATCATACTATTAACTGCACATAGGGATCGCTCTGGGATTACATCAGAAGGGGACTCTCTAAGACTCTAAGTCTTTCAGGCCACCATGTGAAGGAGCCCGGTTTTGAGCCGTGGAGCTTCAGGCTTCCGAGCCTTAAACCCTGAAAGAAAAATGAGGGGTAGGACATTTGGGGGCCCTTATAGTTATAACGGGGATCCTACTATTTAGGGTACTATAATATAGGGTCGCCTATTTCCGGAAGAAGCCCGACACCGCAAACGCCCTCAGTCAAAAGCACCAGGCACCGCCGGAGTATGAGGGTTTCTCTGCGCCGGGCGGCGCCGCTTCGTCTACGGCTCCGGCTGCAGCAGCTGCAGAGGCCCCAAAAGAGCCAGAGCCACCAAAGGAGGAGCGAGCCGCTTCGAAGGAGGACGCCCTTAAGTGCTTGGGGGAGTTTCAGGACTTCGGGGCACCGGGTTTCGCGTGCTGGAAACTTGAAAGGTTTCAATACCGGTTTAAGGTCGGGCCGTATGGAACTAGCTCGTGCATTGAACCTGAAGGACGCAAAATGGTTTGTTTGGCCAAAACTAAGAGAAAGACAGCATGAGCTGCCACCCCTGAGACAACGCCAAATCCTGAACCATGGGAGGCATGAGGCGTACTGTAAATCCGAACATACCCTAACTTCAATCGTTTTGTGCAGAGACTTGTGAAAAGCAATCCCACTCTAAAGGGCTGGGGCCTGTGGGTGGTGTCTTTGGTTTTGTAATGAAGTGGCCTCGCCAGAGCCCAGGAAGTCCTGACCGGTTAGTTTCAGTTGCTGCAAGTAAATCCCCACCGTAACAGCCGAAACCCGCAACTCTAGTATAGGGGGCCTCAATAATTACCCATACTATTTTGGGGCCTCCTTATTATAACTGTAGTACATACATATATATATATATGTATATATATATATATATATATACACCCCGAAACCCTATTCTAATTTTTAGGGCCCCTATAGTACAGCCCTTGTCGCCCGAAGCCTCGGACTTAAACTCCCTGAAGGCCATGAAGGCCCTATGGAAGGTATTATTCAAAGAGAAACTTGTAGAGTAGAGCCTTGAAGCCGTAGGCCCTAAAGTGGAAGCCAGGCTGTTGCTTCTGTCATGACGATGTCTTCTAGTATCGTTTCACATCGCAGACTCCAAACCATATGCCTCGCCTGGATTGTCCGAGTGTGAGCGCCGAAAGTGGAAGCCAGAAAGTTGGAACATGGTTATCCTGGTGCCCTTGAGATAAAGAAAGTGAATTCCAGCACCTGTCATGCTAAATCCGTGTTCCACTCTTCTGGGGTTCATTGAAAACAAAACTCTGCAGACCCAAGTCTCTCGAAGCGTTGCAGATCCCGTTTCAATTCCCGAAAGCCTCATCAGCCTCGGTTCAATTCCCGTGAAGACCCATCAGTCCCTTGCAAACCCTCGAAAAGACTTAAACCCCTAAACCCCTAAACCCCTAAACCCTAAACCCTAAACCCTACAGCACCCGTGCAGAACCGTTGTAGTACCCTACTGCCCCTTTGGAGTACCTCTTCAAGGTACCCTACAGTGACTCCCAGAAAGTTGGAAGATGGGTTTAGGATGATTAGTGCTGGGATCCCTAGAGCCCTATATGCTTTTACCTCAAGGGCAGGAGGAGACTGATGTTCCAACTTTCTGGTTTCTACTTTAAGTAACCCGCAGAGTGTATATGATCACCAATATTAGTCCCTAATATCCATTCCCCCATTCCCTACTAAGTGACTGAGTACCAGGGAGTCTACGTAACCCGCAGAGTGCCCTTGAAAGGATGGTGCAGACTCCGACAGCGATCCGGGGGACACAGCCGAGTCGGTTCCCATCCAGCAGGCGCGACCCCGCGGAGATAAACAAGGAGGACGCCCCCCTAAACCCTAAAGCCCCGTTCAAAATTTCAAGACAAAAAGCAGAAAACAGCTTGGTTGTTCGCTTGTAGCATGAGCTCAGGCTTCCGGGTTTAGGCGTGTTTTTGCGGGTCAGGGTTTCGACTGTAGTACAGGCAGGATAGCAATTCCAGGTTGATACGTTTTTACTTCGGGAGTTTAGGTCTTGAGGTTGCTCATGTTTTTGCATCATCTACTTTTCTTTGGGCTCAGAGGTCTCGGGCTACAAAAATTAAAAGATTTCTCCGGATGTCTTGTAGAACGAAGCGTGTGCCTTATCCAGGGCTCCTTGTTTTAGATCCTGCTTGGATTTACTTCAGGGGCTCCTTAGTGAAACTCCCAGATTCTTCCGCGGATTAGGCCTTCGGGGTTAGGTTTTGAGATAGTTTGAGGTTACGGAGATTCGGAGTTCTGGGCAAAAGACAAAGTGTACTGGAGGTTTTGGGGTTTAGGGTTTAGGGCATGGCGTTGTCGGGATAGAAATCTTTCTCTTTCCGGTTTTCGGAAATTTATAGTTTGTTGTTGGGCATGGCTTTTTATGTAGGCCTTTGGTGTCTTTAGAGTGGGTGTCTTTGGAGGGCTGTTCTCAGGGTTCCGTGCCTTTGAGGATGGTTCGAAAGTGTTCAGTTCAGTTTTTGTTAAACTCTGATCCCCCAAGGGCTTAAGGTTTACCCATGTATCGGCTCCTTAGTAATTCTGTTTTGGGGCTCATATCTAGAATGCTATAAGGTACTCCCAAAAAGGAACTGCTATGGAGCCTCTGGGTAGGTCTTGAGGCTCAAATGAAGCTCGGACTTGCAAGCCCCAAACCCGAAACCGTGAACCGCGAAACCCTTAGGCTTTTAGCTTCAAAACTCGAATCACCCCAACAACTAGAGCCCTGAACCCCTAAATCCCAAACCCCAAACCGCCCCCAAAAAGAAATGTCCTCCAACAGGTTAAGAGGCCGGTGGGCCGTCGTACTGGTGTTAGTGCGGAGGCGACAAAGGGCGGTGAGGACCTGGCAGTGACGAAGTGAGGGTTTAGGAGGGTTTTGAGGCTTTGGCTGAAGAGTTTCGGCACGCGAGATGTATGATTTGAGTGTTCAGGGCTTTAGTAATTATGGGTTCAACACAAGAGCGCAGGGATGACTTTGTCAAGTCTCTTTCCGAGTGTACGGTACTGGGACACTGATTGAGTAGAATAAGGCCAAGTCCTCACGGAGTATGCTTGATGCTTTGTTTGGAGCTGCATGGCCTTCTGCATGCAATGGGAGAGAGAAAGCGAGATAGCACCTTGGGGGGCACACGTGGCTTTAGCCCCTTTGTTTGAATCCTGCTCCGAAGTGCTTTCACCTCCTGTGGCCCGGACTTAGAAAAAGTCCTGTATGCCTGGGAGAGAGAGGCAGAGGGAGAGACAGAGAGAGAGAGAGAGAGGGAGCGTCTTGGGGCGTTTGACACTACAGCTATACTAGGTCTGCAACAGTAATGTTGTCATGATTGTGAAACTGATCAGCACGTGCAAATAAGAGTATGTATATACACACATGTATGTACTTATTTGTATCTTGTTGTTTGAAAACATCTTCTTTTCGCGACAGAGAGGCACCAGCACCAAAGTGAACTGTTTTCACAAATCCTGAATCACACCGTATCGTGGCCTTGCTGCCTTTGTTAACTTCGACGGCAAAAACCAGGACCACGACTGCCAAGATTGCAATTTGAAGCCTGCTGCTAGTGCAGAGGTAGCGTCTATTGCTACCAGCTATCTTTCCTCACTCATTGCTGAATTATTCCTTTTGTGGGATCACGTTGCGCAGCGTTGTCTTCCACAAACACGTAATGTGTGCGCCGATGACGGCGGATCAGCGCTAGAACCACAGTAACCCCAAGCCCTGCTAAGTTGGGCTTGTCGAAGGGAAACAAGTTTGAGATTTGGGGCTCCTGACACTCCCGCTTGCATGGATCATGCAGTTTAGCCGAGAAGAACCGAGAAGCTTTATGTAGAACCTGCATTTACTTGAATTTGCTTTTGGGATTCTGTTGTAACTTGTAACCCTCATCTAAGACTAAGAGTTGCGTGTAGATGCAGCCCTTGGCTGGCAAGCTCGGAACCCACAGAGCGCAGTAGCCCTTACGTAAGCGACATACCTTCAGTATCCTTCAGTCGTAGTATGCCGGTCCGAAGTTTCAGACATGTTTCGTACTCAAGATGTTGAGGAACCGAAGCCTTGTCTCACTTTTTGTCGCGCAGGACAGCTGGACTCCGCCTGTGTCACCCGGATTGAGCTTTGGGGTGGGGCCCGCGGTAACATTCAACCCACCGCTCGCAACCGGGACAGCTAGGCAAGTCCATAGGCAGAGTGGGACTCATGGGCAGGCTATCTTGCCGTGTTCTAGACGAGATCTCGGCTAATTGCAGTCATGAGAAGGCCCCAGTTCGTATTTCTGGAACTTGATGCCTGTAGGTCGAACGCCGAGCCCCAAGCCCCATAAGCAGACGGTAAGGTACGAGAAGACGGCAGAGGAGCGTGCATCGCTGTCGGAAATCATCAAATCCTCGCGTGATAGCCACCCGGCTGGTGCTTTTGGTCTTCGGCTTAGGATCTCAAGCTTTTAAGATTTCGGGAGGACCAGAAACTGAAACTTGACTCTTAGTGCTGATCAGAGGCCGAAGTATCACCTCGGCCACCTAGAAGCCCTTCAAACTCAATACTCCATTCCTGATATCCTTAGGCAGCATACGCTATACACACCCTAGCCCGGTAGCGGTAGCCCAGACCTCTTGTGAGCCTTGACTGCCAGCTGAGGATGCTTTTGCTTCGGCAGTCGGTGTAGCATCTTCGAGTAGGGTGGTTTGGTAAGGCCCGACGGCCCAAGACTTGGGGCACAGGGTCATAGCGTTATCGGTTCCAAGCAAGGACTGTTGAGCGAGACGGTGGCTGGGAAGAGTAGAAGTTGAGCTATGGGTTTCCTTGTCCCAGGCAAGATCCACATGCTCTTTGGCACAGTGAACCAGAAGACATTCGAGACGCGACTGCACTGTTGCGACCCTGTCCTAAGAGTCATGGTGTGAGTCTGCCTGCTTTCGTGTACGTTGAACGCTCTTCGTCCCTGGCCGCCAGTCCATCAGATTGGTTTAGGGCCTCAGCCTCACACTTGAAGGAAATGATCCTGGATGCCATGTTCATCAAGAAGATCGGCAAAGGCCCTGCAAGCACATCATTCGTCCAATGTCACAGTGGTCTTGGTGCATGCTGCGACTTCGTGCTACAAGACAGGCGGCCATGTATAGCTTTGCGAGGCTTTCGGCTTAGAGCACCCCGCTGCTTCGTGAAGTCTTCTACTGGTGTGCTCTAAGCGAATACCTCATTAATTCACCTCACTAAATCAGAGGCTACATACAAACGACTCGCAGCACCAAATACCATCGACGTCTGAAGGTATGGTAGATGCCGTAGGCTTTGTGCTTTTCGGGTGTCGGCTTATCGGTTCCAGGGATTCACTCGACACGGGTCGTGAATGGTACAAGTCCTGTTTTTGGTTCTATCATTGCAGCTGCTGCATGTTGCATCATGCACGGCATTCAGCAAAGACTTCGGGCCACGACTTGGAAGATTTTCCTGACGGTTCAGAAGTGAGTGTGGACGGTTGCATGAGTAACTTTAAAGTCTTGACCCTGTCTGTGTGGCCTTCGACTGCTGGCCGTACTTCGGTGTTCTTCACCGCTGCAGTGGTCCATCCTGTACGCAGGGTCAAAGGGGGAGTTCCAGAAATCAAGGGGCTCTATTCTGTATACTAGCTCCGAGCTGCTTTTGAAGTATCTTCTGGTAAGATTCTTTAGCACTGGCCTGAGTAGCTCCCAAAAACAGAAAGCCGCGCAGCGCAGTCTCCTCGCCCGGGTTGCCAAGTGCGGGGGCTGACACCATGACAATCGAATAGTATGACCAGTATAGTACGGGGGTCTGAAAAGCTGGACATAACATCCCCTTGCAGTCCCTGTAGAGTTAGTACCGGCTATGCACCGAAGCCGTATTCTAGTCATGTGGGAGTTGGGGGCCCTGATATACCCTAAATAGTAGGATCCTTATTACAAGGACCCCAAAATAAGGTACCCCCGATTTTCGGAAACTCCCATTTCTCAGCCATCCTCAAGAACACGAAGGCGAGGACGTGATCTCGCAGGGTGAGGAGGGAGACTATTTCTACATTGCTGCTTGGATTTAGGGTTTAGGGTTTCGGGTTGAGGTCACGAGGTTTGGCCAGGAGAGACGGCGTAGGGTTGCTGAGGGATATTGTGCAGATGTTTTTGGAGCCCAGCACTTACTCTTGGCTCGGCAAGATATTATTGTAAGGAAGGTTCATTCTCAACCACGGCCTATGGGACCCTGGGGAAGATCATAGCCTTTCTGGCATTTTCCCCATAGAGAGGTCCAGAAATGTCGTGGATGATTCGGCGGTGAAGCTTAGTGCGCGAGAATTCTGAATTGGGTGTTTGCCGACGTACAGTAGTGTCCTTAACCCAAAGGTGCACGAGCCATCGCCCTTCGATTCCAGCACATGTTAGTCTTGGAGGGCCATCCGAAAATGGTAGGGGAAGGGGACAAGCGTAGGGACGTCCTTATGCTGGTGGTATCTTCTGGGTTCTTCAGCATTTGTTGGAGTTTTCCTTCGCGGGCGTTCAGGATCATGTCAGGCATACGACGCAAGGGTCTTTTTGTGTTCTGAGAGAATTGGGGCCGGAAGGTGTGTCATCCTGACCTCTGGGGGAAAGTGCGAGCCTGCTAATATCGGGGCCGAAGCAACTACCAATATTATTCCTTAGGGTTCCTCATTATTACTATACACCCTGTTCTAATTTTCACATTACAGTACGTGTTGCGAAACTGCAGCTCCAAAATCTTCCTCATCAACTGCAGCCGCCTGAACCTTCAAGACTTCAACCATACATGGGTGAGCCTTATTTGGGTCCTTATTATAGTACGGCACGTCATTTTTAGGGTACCCAAAAAGGGACCCTAATTTTGACAACCACCCACACGCCAAGCGAAGTTTGCAGGGTTCGGGGCTTAATTGCACTTCCTGAAATACTCCCTGCCACGTTTAGGCATCCCTTATAAACCCGCACGTGCATAAGTCGAGAAGTGTATCAACCCCCAAAACCCCGAAACCCTTAATTCCCCTTGTCGTCTTGAGCCCTCGCCCGGCTTGTCCCCGTTGTCAGTGCTGAACTTCATACGGTGACAGTGATTTAATACAGAAGCCCAGAATAACATCAATGTTATTCCTGAGAGTTCGCAGAGCCCGAACTCGTAGTCTAATTCCTCATAGGACTCCTTATCAGAACTATACTAGGAAAGAGCCCAAAACCCCTTCTCTGATGATCAAGGCCCCTTACATTCCCTGCCGTGAAGCCTCGCGGCGCGGCTTAGGTCAAGCGCGGGCAGTTTGACATCTTCGTGAAGAAGGGCGAGGATCCCCCGAAGAAGGCCCTGGGCACGGGCTACTGGTACTGAGAGACTCCAGGGATCCCTTAATTAAGGAATATGCCTTAAACTATAGTAGGGGTCCTATTCTCATCTAAGGTACATTCCGTAATCAAGGGATATTGGAGTCTCTGAGCATAGGGTCTAGGGTGATTGAGGAGGTTGTTGTTGAGGGCTTGCAGCGATGTTTTAGGGCTGTGCACTTGTAGGCTGAGGGTTTGGGCTTGGACACCAGAAGACATGGGTCCAAACCCACCATGCAATGGGCTGCGCACTCATCTAAGAGCTTCCTGTTCAGAAGCAGAATTGTTTCAATCAGGTTTCTAGATAGATCCGACAAGCCCGTTAAAATATAGGTACCTGAACCTTAGGCAAGCCCATAAACCCCATAAGCCACTAAACCCAAAACGGCCCCAACCCTCAATAGACCTCATAAACCTCTCAACAAATTACACACTGTTGGACTGTTGGCTGAAGTGCCATGGTGAGGTCCGAAAGGAAAAGATCACTGCATGCGTATTTTAACAAGGCTGCACGAGGCAGCCGTCCACCAAATATCCACCACATGCTCAACCCTAAACCCTAAATTCCCTAAACCCAAGTACAGTTCTGATTTCACGCCGTCGTGATACCCAGACGACTTGCCCAGATTGTCCCCACTGTTCGAGTCGAACTTGGGTATGGGCACTACAGCCGCCAGCCCGCAACCCTCGAAATCCTGCAGCTGGAACCCCTTGCTGAAGCCGTTCTGCTATTCAAGAAGCATCCTCGTTGCAACGTAGTTCTGCGCGCAAATCACAACATGGCCAAGCTTGGTGTGTTTGCGGCGCTTCTTTTTACCGCGGCAGTGACTGTCGCAGCCGACCTCAGCAGCAACGTCCTCCGGACACGCACGGCCGAGCCAGAGGCCAGCTCGGAACCCCTGGTGGTACGCCTCCAGCGTGTGGAAGGCTTGCACAGCTCTCACTTCTACGTCGGAAGGTTGGCACTGGGGCAGCCGAAGCCGCAGGAGCTTCAGGTCCTTTTCGACACCGCTTCGGGCCACTTGCTCGTTCCCCACGCCGCCTGCGAGAGCCAAGCCTGCAAGAAGCACAAGCGCTACTCGCCCTTCCTCTCCTCCACCGCCGTGGACGTCAACTCCAATGGCAAGCGCGTGAGGGAGAAGCAGCGCCTGGTTCGAGGAAAGACCAAGAGGGACGCGGTGATGGTGGAGTTCACACAGGCCGACCTCGGCGAAGGTGCAGCCCGCGCAGTCCTTGTGCACGACGACGTTTGCCTAGGGACGGAGTTCGGTCATCAGGTCTGCACGAACCTCGACATTATGGCTGCTGTGAACATGGATGACGAGCTCTTCGATGCCATGCCCTACGATGGCATGCTTGGCCTGAGCCTTGCGGGCCTTTCCACGCAAAGCGGCTGCGTCTTCTTCCAACGGCTCATGGAGACGAACCCAAAAATGTTGCCGCAGTTCGGGCTGTCCTTCGGGGCCCAGTCGGGGGAGATCTACTTCGGGGGCCACAACTCTGCGCGCCTGGCAGAGGAGCTGAAGTGGTTCTCCGTGCTGCACCCTGATGACGGCTTCTGGGAGGTGGCGATCCAAAGCGTCCGCCTGGGAAATGTCACGGTGGACTCGTGCCAGGAGGGCTGCCGAGGAATCATCGATACCGGCTCTTCACGGCTCGGTGTTCAGCAGAACAACTTCGAGGCCCTCCGAGCTGCTTTGTCCCATGCAGTGCCCTTGGTCGGCGGCGGCTGCGAGGGCTCCGAATTGGAGTTCGACCTCGGGGCGATGACGCTGAAGCTCCGCGTGGAAGACTACGTCACCGGCTCGGACTGTGCGCCTCAGCTCGGCTCCTTGGAGTTGGATGCCAAGGAGTTCCACGGTGTCTATGCCTTTGGAGAGACGGTCCTCCGCCGCTACTACGCCGCCTTCGACTGGCAGGAGAAGCGCATTGGCTTCGCTCCGGTGGCTCAGCGCCGTGTGCAGCTCGGCAAAGCCGGTGCAGTGCCTGTCTTTACCGTCTAGGCCCCTAGGCCCCGGGCCGGGAGGAGGGCCTGTCCTTCGTTTCAAGGGCCTTTCATGTCTTCTGTCTATAATGCGAGGTCCGACATTAAGAGGTCCGCAGGCACTGCAGAAGAAGATCTTCGATTCCTCTGCAGCATGCTGGTGTGACACTGGACTTTGCGGTCGCAGGCAGAAAAAGCTGCTCGTGTCCAGCTGATGTGATGTGTCTACTGTGCCTGTGACGTATGTGTATCATTGTATATGTACGCACATGCCCGGACCCCTACACCCCTGAACCCCATTCGCGTCGTTTTGATCTCTCAGACCTCGAACCACATGCCTCGCCTGGATTGTCCGAGTGTGAGCGCCGAAACCGCTCAACCCCCTAAACCCTAAACCGAGAGGGAACAAAAAACCTAATTCCTGATCCGAACCCTAAACCCTAAACCCTGAACCCTAAACCCTAAACCCTATAAGCCCTAATTCCTGATCCGACTTCGGAGGTCTTCCAGTGCGGGCCTGGCTTCGCTTTCGGCGAGATGGCTTTGCTCTACACCTGCCCTCGCACCGCCACCATCACGGCCCAGGATCTTAGGGTTTAGGATTAAGGTGGGGTTTTGCATCGTAGTCGGGTTCCGTTTTAAGGATTCCTGTGCAGGTTCCAGACTCGAGGGTTTATAGGGATTTGGCGTTTCGAGGTTATGATTTTAGTTTTTTTTTTTCGGTTTAGTGTTTGAGATCTAGTAAGGGTTACTTCTAGCCTTACAAGAAGGTTTTGCAAGATTTGGTGGTTAAGGGAGCTGGAGGTTTGAGGTTTTGGTGCTTCCGGAGATTCAGGGTTCCGGGGGCTGCGGGCTTGGGGCCGAGGGTTCTATCCTTTAGGGTCCAGAGGGCTGAATGAAGGTTTAGGAAACGGGCGAGTTATAGAACTGGGGTCTCTATGAATTCCATATTAGAGTTTATAATATCAAGAACCTACAAAAAAACTACAGTAGGGTTTTGTTAGGTGAAGGTACGCCTCAACAGGGCATAGGACATTTATCTTGCTTGGGGTTTGGATTTCGGCTTCAGTTTTTTATAGGGGTACACCTTTTGGCGTGTGATCGTCACAGCGTGACCTGAGAATCCACGGAAACGGCAAGATGTGGGAATTTCGTCAGCTTTGCCTGAAGAGTTTCAGATACTAGGGCTTAGGGTGTAGATGTTGCACATCGAGGTCTGGCTAGACTTGCGTCCAGTGGGTAGGGTTCTAAAAAGCTGGGGGAATGTTTAGGTCCTACGAAACCACAGAGCTTTGATTGAGGACCCTGCATGTCTCCGAAACATCCGCTTGCTATCCTTGTGGGCTGTCCGAGGGCATCCTCGACTCCTGATGACCCTACCCTAGCCCTCAATAGCCTACCCTTTTTAGGGCTCCTTAGTATGATTTCCTTCTATAAGTCCTTCAAAAAGGTAGGTTCTTCAGGGTTAAGGTAAGGCTGAGTCCCTGGCGGCGAGGACGAGTCGGAGGTCTGGAGTTTGGACCGCACGGCGTTTCGGAACCTCGTCGTCCGCAGTGCGGAAGCTCAGTTCAAGGCCCGCTCCCGTGGTCTCAGGGCTCGGGACTTCGGCTTTTCCGAAAATACGGGGGCCCTTCAAGGGTTCCTTTAAGGGATCTATAAGGGTTCCTATAAGGGTACTGTATGGGAGATATGGGAGTTTTCTGAAATTTGGGCCTTGGGGTTGTTGAGCATGCTCGCCTTGCTGCAGGGTAGGGGAGGGTGTGTTTGGCTAGACCGGGATGCTGAGCAACGAGGCCTGTTGCAAAAGTTGTCGATCAATGATTGCCTTCAAGTTTCAGTAGCACTCGCACTCGAGTCAACTGTGGCTGGCAGTCGCAATCGTAGTATTGTGTGGTTGGGGCACTGCAACGGTTTAGGGCAAAGGGTGTGTGCCGCGAGGTTTATGGCCTTTAGGGCATGGGTGTTAGTCTGGGGTGGGGCCTGTAAGGGCGAGTCAAGGTGGAGGTGGTCTGTTGCGGGGGGGGGGGGGGGGGGGGGGGGGGGGGGGGCGACAGTCGGCAAGACAGGAACTGCAAACGAGACGAGCAGCACTCTCCAGAGGGTTCAATAAACGATAGTCGCTTCCCTTTATGGTCCCTTTGCAACTGTGGTGGCATGCACGCCAAACCCTCTTCTAATTCTAGTCACTACAAGACAAGACCCGATACCACGCTACAAGGAGAAATATCTGCAGGATCCTCGAAAGCCTTTAACCCGGACGACCCGACCATGCTTCTCGGGAGGAGTCCTGCAGTTTCCTCAACTCTTGCGACATCTTTGCCACTTTGACCCAGGAGCAGGGAGACTCATTGCATCCTGGGTGGAGGGGTTTGGAAGTCAGGGCCCTGCTCCAATTAGCAAGGCACCTACTTGAGATCCTGTAAACACCTTGTGAACACCTTACTTCATCCTATGAAAGACTTTCTCCCCCCCCCCATAAGACGTTAAGATTAGGGCGTCCGGCTCTAGGTAGGGACGGTAGTGTAGGGTTTGTGCCCTGGGAGTTTTGGGTAGGGGTGTCTAGGGCTTTGTGATGTTAGGGCTCCAGGGCTTCGGATTCGAGATTTCGGTGACTTGAGGACTGAATTGGAGCCCGAGAGGTTCCGGTTAAAAAAAATCGGGGGTGTGGACGCGAGAGACCCAAAGTTGACCTGAAAAACATTCGAAACCCGAGCCAAAAGCCCGACCGAGGACCACTGACTTGAGTGGAGAAACCTTACCTCGCCTACTTGGAGGGTCGGGGGACTTGGTAAGTAGGTAGTAAGTAGACGTCTAAGTACCCTAAACGGAACCCTAATTGGGGTTACGGTACTTATAAATCCCTAAAATAGCCAGTTACTAAGTCCCCCGACCCTCCAAGTAAGCCGCGAGTGTATCGGTTAGATGTCGCCAGGACCAGATCTGCTCTCTTGCGGAAGTGCTTGAGGAGGAGGACCCGGGCATACTATAGGGGCCTAGATAATTACCAATACTAGGACGGAATACTGACTTCAATATGTGCCATCCCAGTCAACATCATCTGGATTTCATCTGCGACCAGCAAGCTTGCCATTATCGTCATCGCCGTCGCCATTATGTTCACCATGTTGCTTGAAAGGCTTAGAACCTTATCCATGATGATAGATAGTACAGGTGTTGTTCAGCCTACGGAGTTATAGTCTCGTACTCGAGACACCTATCCGCAAATACTTCAGGATAACAGCCCTAGCCCTAGCCCCAAACCCTGAAAATTATCAGTGCTGTGCAGGATCGCTATGCCTTAACCCATATCCCTAGTTTGAGGTAGAGTGCTTCATGTCAGGGTACACATGATCAAGAGCTTACTCTGTGAGGTCCGCGTTTTCAGGATCCCTCTTGTCTGAATCTCGTGGTTGGTATAGTTAATGCTTTCATTGAAAACCCTCAGTAAGACACATACTATATAGTATTGTTTTGGTCGATCCTTATTATATTAATAGTCTAATGGGCCCAAAACCTTATTCTAATTATTATATTACGTTGAGCTCCAAACCTGCAAGAGCCTTCCCAGGAGTTCGACGATGACGAGGCCATCGTTGAGCAAGGCGAGAAGGACGACAAGATGTTCATCCTCCGCAGCTGGGCTTAAAAAAGGGGCTTAAATAATTACCAACCCTATTTTGGGAGTTCCCTGTTTTAATAAAGGTATAATATACCTCCGCGCCTGGGCTTACTCGGTTCAGCACAATGAGGATAAGGCTTTGGGGTCTGTTGCACTGCCATAATAATAGGGAGCCTGGAGGAGGAATTACCTTAAACCCTAATCCCTATAGCAGTCGCAAACAGGAGTTCAACAAACAAATCCCTATAGATGCCTTTGTAGGACCCCCTACAGGAACCCTTATGGATCCCTTTAAATGCAGACTCCTTGTTGGGGATGCAACCAATCCAAGGCAGAGGGCTTAGGATTCCAGTTTCTTGGCTCGCTAGCGAATGATTGGAACCTCAGCCTCAACGGGGAAAAGGAGGGACGCTTAATGGGGACCCCTACCCTATAATGAGCTATATAAGAGGTATATAATAGCTGTATTCAGGGTATGTACCTAGGGGTCCTTATTAAGGGTCCCTCCATGTCCCTCCTTTTACCCTTGGACAGTCAGCAGAACTGAGCTTCAGAGCGTGGGCGGACTTGCTGGCTGACACTATGATAGCCCAGCTGTAAACAGTGCTAGTCTTAGCTGAGGAACCAGCGAACTAAATCAAACTTCTTGTGCTTGCGAGGAGAGACATTTCCAGTGATGGCCTTTAAGTAACATGTTAAAAAACAGTTTACGGCGCCAAACGTCACAGTATTTGTTTGTCAGACAACGTTTAGTCGGTGGTGCTAACCTGCTTGGCGTTTGTACCGAAATGGGTAAGTCTTAATAGAACCGGCCCACCCCCCCCCCCCCCCCCCCCCCCATAAATCACGGCTGCTCAAGAGCAGACATAGCCACCTCGACCCCAAAGCCATACAGCCCAAAAAACCTGCAATAGTTAAGCCGTGTGCCTTCAAGGGATGTTAGTGTTTAGGTTCAGGGCTGTGGAGTCGTAGGGTTTGGGTTGTCAAAATCCCGTCGTCAGAGCATTGCGGGTTCTCAAAAAGCTCTGCACGCCAACCCACGGCACAAGGAACCAAACAAAGTCAGAGCCGCTTGGCACAGGCACCGGCCAAGCTGTGGCATGCATTGGCGGCGAGAAGGGCGAGATTGAGGCATAGCTACGGGAGGGGTCGGTTCAGGACTTGAGGCTTTTGTGGGATCATTGCGTGCGAGCGAGGAAGAAAGCGACAGGCAGGGAGAGAGAGAACGAGAGATGCGGAGTAAGATAGAAGGCGTGATGTTTCGAGGTTTTGAGTTTCTGATTGAACTGCTGTGAGAGCCTTGTAGTTTGATTGTGAAGAATGCTGACAGTTTGCCGTTTCTGTAGGTTTTCGGCATGAGGGAGGATTCAATGCAAAGCCCCCGTTCGACTTTACCACAAACGACAAGGGCTGGTGTTTTGCAGTGAATGGCTTTCAACAATTGAAAAAATGGTAATGACTCCATATCCGGACAACGTAAGCCTCGAAGCATCGTGTCCACCTCAGGTCAAGCAATATGCGAAGGGGGAATATTTCGGAGAGATTGCCCTTCTCAGCGGCCAGCCGCGTAAAGCCAGTGTGTCGCTTGGCTGCGTGCGCTTGCAAGGATTTGGCCAAGGATAAATCGCCGAATCCCGGGAAAGAAGCAAAGGAAACAATGCGGAACCCCATTCCGCAGGGGTCCTTAGACTTATACCATATTATGTACATCAGAACATACACAAGAACCCTGTTCTGATCTGTAAGGCTTTCAGGCTCCGAGTTTGTTAACTGCCAGAAGCCCCGCAGAGTTACCACGAGCTAGGCGAGAAAGCATGGGAGATTCATAGATGTCGACCCTCAAGAGTGCACTCCGCTTTGGCTGTTGAAGCCGATTGCGTCGTTTGCTTGTGGCCCTACATGTTACGTGTTTCGTAGGATGTTCATAAGATGTTCCTTGATACTCACGGAGTTTAAGTCCTCTGTTCTCAAATTGGGTGCGAGCGTCAGAGTCCCAGCGCCCAGGTATGCAGTTGGCAAAGCGACCTGCTTCGTGGCTGTTCGATGCTGTTCGTGGGGCTTAGTGCTTGCCTGGCGCTGCATGTGAGGGTTTGCAAAAAACGATGTAGGGGCGGGTTTCCTGAGCTCCCGAGACGTCTCATCATCAGAAGGGAATTCGAACTGCACCTTCTGCGCTCTTACTCGCCTCTTTTCTCCGCGTTTAGCGAGCAGAGGGGCTGCTGACACTTCCGCTGTCGAAGCATCCGGTGGCTCTTTTTTGCGGTGACAACTTGGCACCAGGGTCTCTTGGGCAATCCCACTAATACATCGTAAAACATGAGCTTCGACACCCTCCATGTTGAGCCTCAACCCAACCCTGAACTCAAGGATCCCTGAACCTCAGAGGTTTCTATATCACCCGGTCGACCTTTCGACGCATCTTGGGACCTCTTCAATCCTTCCTGGAGAAGAACATGGACAAGTACGTCGCGACCTTGGGTGGGTTTCAGTAGAAGGCATCCTGAAATCAACCCGGCATCCACACGTGCGTCTCTACCCCAAAGCTGAGCAAGTCTTTACTTGGGCTGACTCTGGAATCGCATGCCTTACCCTTTAGTTCTGAAGAAGATCTGAACCTGATTCGACTCTCGTCCTCCGCGCACTCAGGCCAAGTACCAAGATGCCATGAAGGAGGGCGTCAACGAGGATCTTGTTCTTCAGCTGGGTGTGCTTGGTCACAGTACTTTTTGCATCTGTCGATTGTTGATGTTGGGGAAGCGGAGACACTTCAAGTTTGTTACCGCAGCATCGTCCTGATGTTCATGCGCTTGCCACGAGTTTTTCTCTCTCAAGTCTGCAGGGTGCCTTGGGAAGATTCAAGATATTTTCAGCATCACTTCGCTCATGGCTCGGGTCGAGTGCCGCTTCACCTTCCTTGATGTCCTCCTGGATGAAGAAGAGCGGGTTCAAGACATGAGGCGCAACCGTGCACGCAGTGAACCTCCACGTGCCTGTGCGGACATGGCCAACGAGGATGACACGGCAGAGCATGAATCGACTCCCCAGGCAGACCAGACAAGCACAGATGCCCCGGGGATTGAGCCAGAAGCGGAGCCTGCTTCCCATGCAGCTATCAGCTTCAACAACGGGAGCATCGGGCATCCCATCCTTTGCAAGCGCCCTTGCGTTCATGTGGCAAAGGGAGGGCCATGCCCGCTTGGCGACACATGCCCTTACTGCCACTTCCCACACCGCGCCCTACACAGGCCCAAGGAGGAGCAGCGAGCTTTCATGAAGAAGATGCCGACTGCGGAGCTTCTTAGCACCATCTTGGGGTTTCTCCAGGAGAAGGCTCAGGCCACAAAGCTCCGAGGAACTGAGCCTCTCTTCGATCTCCTTCGCGCGGAAATCCACAAGCAGGAGCGGCCAAAGCCGACCGCATGTGGCCATGACCCGGCGAAGAAGCGTCTTCTACGCGGTCTTCGGCAGACGATGCAGAAGATGAATTTTGCCGGCTTGGCAGGCATGGCAGTGAGCAAGTGCCAGGGAGCCTGCCAGACTGAATTAATCCAAGCGATCGAGCGCTTGCGCATGTAACTGGGAGGCATTTGCGGCAGTGAAAGTTATAGCTGAATAAAGTGTATAAAGGCCATGATTGTTGATACAGTGGTATTGGCCGCAGATTTTCCGACACGCTCTTATGGGTCAGCGTGAATGGGTTGGCCTCCGATCAATTGTTTTAAGTTTAGGATGGCCGGACGACCAAAGTTGGATTCTCTACCATGCCCAGAGGCTCCATACGGTTGATGATATAAATCCTGCATTACCCATAACAAGGAATATACCATAATTCCCACAGTTTAGGGTCCTTAAGGTGGTGCAGTATTTATATCATCAACAGTAGTAGTTCCTTTTTGGGATTACCTTATAGAACTCTAAAATACGAGCCCCAAAAAGGAACTACTATGGGGATTTTCCTTGTAGAACTCTTTAATACGAGCCCACACAGGAACTACAATGGGGATTGCCTTATAGAATTCTGAATATGAGCCCCCAAAACGGGATTACCTTATAGAATTCTATAAATATGAGCCCCGAAATAAGACGACTACGGAGCCTATGGGCCCATGCGAAGACGCACACATCTGATCCTGTGCGTTGTAGGGGCTGCGTGGGTTTGCCCATCATAGTATGGCGAGGGAGCAGCACCACAGGCAAAACAGCCAGAAGAGCCATCTCCGAACCAGAGTGATAAGCTACAACAACGGTAGTCGCGATGCCGGTGTAGACACCACCAAAGGCTGGGTATTCACAACGAAGGCTGGAGACAGCAGCAGTAAGAGTAGCAGCTTGCAGCAAAACAGGCGTGTCTAGCAGCACGAAGAAGCATATCACATCACAACTTTGGCGACCCAGAATCAGCTGAGCACTGACTCTGACTTAATGTTCAGTCCTGCAGACAGCCAATCTTGGAGGGTCGGCATCCATCCTGACTGGAATGCGTTCCCGCAAGTACAGATGCATGAGCACGAAGGAGTTTCGGATACTGGCGCTACTGGTCATGCAACTGCTCCCGTCAGGTCCGTCTGCATTGGAGGAGATAGAAAGACACTGGACTGATCAGAGGCACGTAACTCCATCGTATTGATATAAGCAGCACAGGCAGTATCCGCAGCTAGCAGGCTTCCGTGTCCAAATTTAAGGACATGCATTTTTGAAGCTTTGCTGGCTTCGCCTTAGCTTTACTATTGAGTCCTTCTACGGGTGTAATTAGCAAAGAACGACTCGGTGGTCCACTCTGTGCTTAGCTGTCGCTGTGACCACGACAGGCCTGGCGGCAGGCACAGACATTTTCGGGTGGTGAGAACCATCGCGTGGCTCTGTCCACCGCGCGTGATGCGCATTCTTGCCTTATAGGATGTTCTTTGTGCGTGCGTGTTGTTGCACATTTCTTTGGAACCGAACCCATGTCGCTGCAGAGTAAGATCTTCATCTAGCCATCTAGCAACCCTGAATGGTAGACAGATGCTTGCAGTTTGGCGCGCCGTTCCGAAGAGCTCATGAAGCCCTCACGGCATGTGCCGTGTATTCGCGATCGTCTTTGTGGCTGGAGCCGGAGAGGCAATGCAGCCGCTCTCGGTCAGTAACCAAGAGGCCTCCGTGTCCTTTTTCAGGACGGGCATTTTTGAGGCTTCTTGGTAACGTTGCATGCCCAGGGACACCTGTTCTCAGCGGCATCCGCTGTGTAGATCGATTGTCCTTCTCATGTCGAGCCAGCAGCACTCGGAGCAGGAGCTTTTAAGATCTTAAGCTCTCTGAAGTTGGGGAGGACCAGCCTTGAGCTTTTGTCACTGCGCATGATGCGCTCTTTTGGAGTTAGGCTGCAAGTTGCGAGTATGGGCCCTGCGGTCTACTGGATGATGCTGGTCAGATTCTGCATCAGGCACAAGAAGTACGCCTGGCAGCATGACATCCAGGAAGCTGCGCCCGCACAGCTCGCTTGATCTCGGATGCCGTATAATGACTATAGGGGCCTTAATAATTATGACAGTATAAGGGCTACTATAAGGCTACTACAGTAGGGGCCTTAATAGTTACCAATACTATTTAGGGGTGTTCCTTATTAGAGTTATAGTACAATGGGCCTCAAAACCTTGTTCTAACGATTAAGGCCCCTATATCACTCGGAATTCAGTTATAGCTCGCATACCGTCGGCAAGCGCATGGTCGCTGCGCCTTCTGCCGGATGGCATGGACCGGTCATGAAGACGTGTCGGAGCATGTCTTAAGCATCCCTGCAAAACATTACAAGAGTCGGTTCGATTCTGACTCACCATCAATCTCGCGCATAGATATCCTTGCTACTATACCACCAAGACAACATCCTAACTCTTCAGGTGCCCATGTATCATTATGGCAGGTTTGCTGGTTGTCTCCTCGAACTCAGTGCTCTTGTCGAGTGGTCCTGGAGTAATGAGCCTGCCTACGATAAGACCTCAGCCACAGCTTCGACTTCAAGAGTATCTGTTGCCTGCCCTTAGGAGATCACTACCCATAGGCTCCATAGCAATTATCGTTCCTTTTTGGGTGTCATATTTAGAATCCCATAAGGTAGGGGTATTTCTTGCTTGCCCTTAGAAGAGCACTGGGTCCTCGAAGCGACATCTATTCGCCTTTGGTGCACAGCGCCTTTCCTCCCTTGCGTACTCGAAGGTTCATGGGAACGGAGTACAAATGTTGAGGCTCATAATTCGGATTTAGGGTTTAGGGTTAAGGGAACTTAACGACGGTTGTATCAAAGTGTGTAAGGCTTAGCAGTCTATATAGCTTATGACTGTACGTGTTCAGCTGTCAACTTGACCGTACACGTGTCCCTGAGCCTGCAAGTAGCGGCACCTCAGAGGCGGAAGAGTCTGTACAGCTGTCAGATTCTGGCCCGGTCGGAAAGACAAGGATGTGGGAGTTTCCGAAAATAGAGGTACCTTATTTTACCTTATTTTAGTGTCCTTATACTAAGGATCCTACTATTTAGGGTACTATATTTGGGTCCCCTGTTTTCGGAAACTCTCATGTATGATTCAGCATCTTGGACTTCTGGGGAACAGGGTTTAGACTTTGGTGTTTTGGTGAGTTGGACCTCAAGAGCCGCCCGGAAGTCTTCCATACTCTGGTCGCGCAGATTAAAATCCTAACTAAACGGCCTAAGGCTTATGATGCTAGATTGTGGGGGGCCAGATGCTTTAGGGTTTGAGGGTTCTGAACTTCAGGGTACCCAGAGGCTCCATGGTAGTTCCTTTTCGGGATTACCAGATACTTGTAGGAGTTTAGATACGAACCCCAAAAAGGAGCTAGTAGGGAGCCTATTGGTAAACCCCAATTCCTGATCCGACCCTAAACCTTAACCCCTAACCCTAAACCCTAAACCATGACCTACAATCGCTATAAACCTTGCCAGGCTTTGTCCGAGTGTGAGTGCCAAAAAAACCCAACCCCCTAAAGGGAAAAATAATCCTATTCCCTAAACCCTAAACCCTAAAAAAAAAACAAGGAAACATAATCCTATTCCCAGGAGGATGAGAAGAAGGAGGGAGTTACCCAGGAGAAGAAGCAGAAGGCCCGCGAGGGGTCGTCTGGAAATGCGTGAGGTTGGGACAGTAATACCTGGACCCCAAAACTATGTAGAAGAGCAGCCTTTTATAGGTTTTGGGCCATTATTTTACCTACTTTTCGGGGTCTAGGTAGTAGGATTCATGCAAAGAACCCTAATAAAAGCCCAAGGTTTTTTGATCAGGTTCCTACATTATTCAGAAAGGGTTATGAGAACCCCATAAACTTACCTTTGGTTAGTAGGGAATGGAGGAATGGGGTACAATCATAACTACTATTACTACCAGTCTTCCATTCCCTGCTAACCAAAGGTATGTAACGGCCCCCAAAACCCTTAAACCCTACACCCTAAGCCGATCGAGTGTGGTTTCTCTTACGATTGCAGCTGAACCCGAAGGTCGCGAGGCCTTTCCGAACGACCCAGGCCGCAGGCTATACACCCGCAACCACTAAACCACATAAATCTATAGCCCTCAACCTCAAGGTTTAGTGCTCAGGCGGTTCAAGGTTAGGGGTCTACGGTTTAGGGACTCATTGAACAGACCGTCCGAAAGCGCGAGAAGAAGGGCGAGGACCTGGACAAGATCGAGCGGCTCGGCGGCTGAAAACACATTATAAAAAACAAGTCTCAGCAATTGGTATCCTCTCTCGCTGCCGCTCCCGCTCCCGCTCCCGCTCTCTCTGTCTCTCTCTGTCTCTCTCTGTCTCTCTCTGTCTCTCTCTCTCTCTCTCTCTCCCTTCCGGGGAAATCCAACTCTGCGAAACTAGACCAGCCCGATTTCTTTGCTACAAAAGTCATCTAGCCGGGAGGCAAGGACAAGGACAGCGTGTTCCTTGGAAATCTGTTTAGCTTATGTTATGATATTATGCACGCGACTGCAAGGGTCTATTTCAGATGCGAACGGACTGCGATGCCTTGTCAAGTTCTAAGGTGTCACTATAAGAGCTGTGAGCATGACCGTGTAAAGTGCAAGAGAAGGGGGCACGCTACGCGTCCCTCGACTCTAAGGGGGCACGCTACGCGTCCCTCGTCTTTACCTTTCTATGTGACCGCCCACGCAACGTTTGGCTCAAGTCAATGCCCATAGCTAAGTGCTATAAGTGTCTTCTATCCTGAGCAATCAGAGCTATCCCGTTGCACAGACGAACCGCCGCCGGCAGTGAGTGCAAAAGGAACGGCCGCCGGTTCTGCCTGCATAGGATTGCACGTGTGGAAGTGTGAGAGAGACAGGGTCCAGTCTGTGGAGAGTGCAAGCCAGCCACACCTACATTCATTACAGCTCTGGTGGGGAGAGCAGCAACCTAGTCGAGATCAATCCCCCACGCAGGTTATCAGCCGTACGCGGCTCTGCCTTTCTACAGCAACGACTACTTGATCTACTACGACCACAATGAACTCGGGATCAAGCCAAGATACGACAATGACTTTCGGTGCCGATGTGGCAGCGCCAGCCGTTGGTGAGTCAACAGCTGATGACACAGTGGTGCAA